TCACCCAAAGTATTGGGCTGTTGGTTAATTATAGAACCAATTTTAGACATTTCTAGAGAACCAACATGAATACAATGATGTGCCTTTTTGGCCTCTTTGGGTAGTTGTTCTTTAACTTGCCTATTATCCTTCATGTTGGTTAAGTGTAGCATGAGTGCATGAGAATTTTGTGTGTCTATTTTTATGCAATGTCTAGGACTGTTATTTGTCATTAAGTTCACTAAAGTAGAGGATGCTTGTGCTTAAATGACTTCAAAAATTTGCAAGGGAAAATTATACTCTTCTGAGTCAAATGTAGGAAAAATGCTTGTGTTTGCTCCTTATTTCATCTTCACCTAACTGCTGCTTCAAACTGAACTCTGGGCTGGCTCTGTCCAACTAGAGACTTTTAATAGTCACAGCTCAGTGAGGGGCAGAGACAAATCTGCAGCTGCCATACATGTTTACTCCTGACCTGTTCTTTCTATACAACTGCAGCTCCTCTTTGCATACTATCCTTTGAATTATAAGCTGAACCTATAGACGGTAGTCATTCCACGTCTGCATATGTGACAGATTCCTAACCCAACAGCCTTACTCCTCTCTCCCCCATATTGGTGAGAAGCCCATTGCTGCCAGAGAGCCACCCATTCCTGGTGGTCACATGCTGGATGGATATGTCCTCTGCATTTATTTCCCGGAAGTCCTCAGCTTGCTCATACTGTCTAAAGTTAGGTTTCAGAGAATCCCAAAATGTTTCTTTTTTCAGATCTATGCTTGTGGTTAGGCTGCTGCAGCTTGTTGGAGAAAAATGACCCAATCTGTTTGTCTGCTGCTTGGTAAAATGACGACAACAATGACGAGTATCTCTTCAGTGCTAGTAACTGTCCCTGTTCCAGCTTTTTGTCATTGGTTTAATTTTCAGTGGGACTCATAGAACCTGCTTAAAGTTACAGGGAAACAGTTAGATCCAGGCATAAAAAGAAAACTGAGTTTTTAGATGCCTTGTGAATCCTTTAAAAAAGGTAAAACAAAAGTAAACCTTACCGTTATGCCCTTACCATTATGCTTAACTGGCAACTTTTCTCTTTGTTACAGAAAATCTTTGATGAGTTATAGCTAATTTAAAGCTATATCAAACTGAAGGGTGGGGAGAGCCTGATAATTTGCATGTCAACTTGCACTATCACCTAATGAACAGCTTGGATCATTGCCTACCAAACTTATAATGACATTACTTTGGGAAAAGGACTCAAAATGTCAAGACCAAATTCTGTCACAGGTTTCTAGATTGCTTGTGTAGTGCTGTAAGTGTGATGATAGAGTAAACTGAGCAGTATTGGATTTATGGCATACTGCTTTGCCACATGGGCATGAGGAATTGTATGAGGTGGGCCTGGAGAAAGAAGGCACCATTCTGGGTTAGAGCAGGCACCATTCTGTCATAAGCAACCATGGGCATCATAGAATGTTGGTGATAGCCATTTCCTGGACAGCCTAGCATTGTTAATGTTAAAAATATCTTCATGCTCAGGAAAAAAAACAGTGTAAAAGTCTTTATAGTCTTATTATTGTTCCCTAAATATCTTCCCCTGTATTTTTCCTTCTGCCTTGTCATTTCCATGTTGCCATAAAGTCATGCAGACATCCCACATGCTGTTGTGACAATAGTAGCAGGTTCCTAGCCAAAATTTTGCCCCCTAAAGAGCAGAGAAATGTCACTCTAATTGCCACCATTTTTTTCTTACGTTTAGGTTGTCTCCTCTCCCTCCTGTACTAAAATGCTTTTTTCTCAACAAGGAAATTAATAATAGTGGCATCTTTGATGTCAGTCATCTCAAGTTATTTATGCCCTTCATACCCGCAGTGGTTTTCTCCAGTAGAACTAGTCCTCTGGCTGCTTGAGATGTAAGATAGGCTTGGGTGACATGAGTCCTGATATATTTTGGATTCCTGAACTGAGGGCAGTTCAGCAACAGCACCGCAAAGAAGCCACAGTGGGGATACAGGCTCAAAGAGCTCATAGCTCAACAGTTTTACAGCAACTCCCTCATTTGACAGGAAGCAGAGATGCCCGGCCTCCCTGCTACACTGAAAAGATACAGTGAGCTAGTATAAGCGGTACCCTGTTCTAGCTCAGTGCAGGAGACCTCTTTGGAATTCATGTGTACACTCATTTAGTAGCTCCTATATGCCAGACAATAATGCTGATGATACAGAAGTGACTCAGACAAGTTCCCTGCCCTGGTGGGGCTCACAGTCAGTAGAGGGGTTGCAGAAACAACAAGCAAGGACAAACACAGCAAGCTAACCACAGCTTGTGATGTACAGGTATAAGAGAGTGTGTGGGAATTCTCTGCATAGTCTGTCTTAAGCTGAGTCTAGAGTCAAGGTTTCCAGAAGAGGAGGCATTCCCACACATCCTTTATCACCACATCAGAGTTTGCCTGCCTCTTGTGCATCTGCCAACTCCATCATCAGTTCTTCTGCACATCTGCTATGTTGAAGATGTCCTCTGTTGTTTTCTCTTACTCCTGTCATTTTCTAATCATCAAATGGCACTTTACTATGCTGCAAATCCTATCTGCCTAGGCAAAACGAGGACACTCAAGTCTTGCAGAAAGTTAATGGCTTATTTTAAGTATCTTGTTAAATATTATCTACTTGACTATTCTGTGTCAATTACCTTTAAACCCTCTGGAAGTTATATAATATGCTTGTGATATGGAAAGGATGTATATGTAAAACTTTTATGCTAATAATTGCTTTAAAGTTTTCATTTGGACTTGTTTTAAAAATTATAGTCTAACAAATCTGAAGTTTAATCAAAATTGGGCTTTGCCTTCCAGTCTTCTTTCTCTCTTATAGTGACTTTAAGAAGGGGAGGAGAGGGGGAAACGGATCACAATAGTGGCTTGGGCGATGAAGGTTGTTTCTTATATTACAAACTAATGTTGCAAGAGGTCAATTGATCATTACTAAATGTCTCCAGTACTGGCAAAGGTTATTGTCACAGTTTATGCAGAGCTTCCCAGTGCGTTGACCTCATGTTCGCTTGAAAATCTAGAGACTAAACCAAAGGAAATGCCCTCTCAGTCCATGGTAGATGCATTTGGGAAGATGAAGTGGTATTTGGTCACCTTGAAAGAAAATGAAAATGTAAGAGGCAGGTTATAATAGCTTAGGGAACTTTAAGAAAAAAATGAATGAGAAAATAAGTCTTTGCTAGGGCAATGGGTAGGAGCTTGAGCAAATAAAAAGTTATACTAGAACCTACTTCCGTTGTTTGTTCTGCTAAGTAAAGTCTTGCTAACACTGCTATACCTTGCTATAACTAATTATAGAAGGAAAAGCCTGTGTGAGGCCATCCTTCCACTTGTTCAGGGAAGATTAGTTTAATGACTGGATCCCAAGGTGCTGGGTGGGTAGTTGTTGCATGGGTTAAGATGGGGTAGTTGGGATTCTCAGCGGGGAGGAGGAAAAAAAAATAAAGATTAGTTTAATGAACTTAAATTTAAGAGTTAATTTATTGAGACTTGATAGAGCTTGAATTTAGGAATTTTTGTACATTTTGTGTTACAGGCAATGGAAGTAAAATTGTATTTATTCCTTAATATCTGAGTGACCTCTTAGTATTTAAGAGTGATTATTGATTAATCAGGGTGTCAAGTGACATTTTTCATATTCTGTAAATTTAAAGAACTTTCCCCAACTAAGTGAGATCTGGCTTGAATTGAAGCACTTTTGGGCCTCCCTGGTGGTACAAAGGGTTAAGCACCACACTATGAAGCAATCCACAGCCTCTGGAGCATGAGTTAGATCCCCAGCTGGCTAGGGAGCAACCCACATGGTGTAGCAGACCTCTCCTGTCATGCCCGCTGCTCCCCTCAGCAGTGTATTTCAGTCACTCTGCCTTTGTTCTGTTCCCCACTCTGTCTCTGGTGAATTCTCTCATTCCCCTGCCTCTCTGGCCTGTACCCCAGCTCTTGTATGCATAAATAGATAAACCTTAAAAAAAAAATTGAAGCACTCTGAACAAAGTAGGGTTGCTATATCTCAGATCATTGTCACGTCAGCTGAATAAATTTCCCATGTAAAGTTCCCCATGGTATACTAAGTGTTCTGACTAGTGATGCAGTAAAGTTACCTCTGTAACATGTTTTCCTCCAAGAGACTTGAAATGGGAAAGGAAGCACTTGCTTAAAAAGAAAGATTTTCTGGTCCCCATATTCTAGATAAACTGAGACAGTATCACTTTGCCCCCACAAATGGTCTTTGGGGAAGAGCTGGCAAGTAGTATATGTTCTCAACCAACCTCTGGAACGTAGTCATTTATTTCTGTTCCTCCAGCAGGCAGATTTGTGTATTTGCTGAAAGCCTAAGATGTGAGACATTAGCTACTTGGAGTACACCTGCATAGTGTCTTAAGAATCAGCATTTCAATTGGAAGATTTAAAGAAAATTTTTTTCATTGTAACATTAGTTTACATCATTGTTTGTGTTACCGTACCCACTGTGAAAGCACCCACAGTCCATCCCATAGTCCATTGTGTCCCTCCCCACTTTGTTTTCCTGCCTCCCCCTATCTCTCTCCCTCTGGTAGCCTCCGTTCTGAAATCAGTATTCTAGGGTTTGTTTTTAGTTTGTTTATATCTGATCCATTGTTTGGTTTCTCTGTATATTGCACATATAAGCAACACCATCAGGTATTTGTCTTTCTCCATCTGACTTTCTCTTAGCATAGTCCTCCCAGTCCTGTCCATGTTGTTATAAATGGCAAGAGTTTAACCTTTTTGTTAGCTGAGTAGTATTCCATTGTGTATGTGTATGTATAGATCATATCATATACTTCCTGGTCCCCTCTAAATTTGGGTGGTTAGGTTTTTCCATAACTTAACTATTGTAAATAGTACTACACTTAACATAGGCGTGCATGTTTTTTTAATCTTTGTATAAATTTACCTAGGAGTAAAATTGCTGGGTTATATGGTAGATTCTTTTTTTTTCCCCCCTTGTTTTTCACCTGTATTCCCCCATTCAGTCTTGGCTGCCAAAATCAAACAGAAAGTACAAGGACACTTAACTTCTTGCATCTTAAGTGGAAACCCTGGCAGCAAACAGTAACTGCTCTAGGTCTGTCAGCAAATCCATCTTTAATATTTTAAGAAAACCTCCATACTGTTTTCTAAGGATTCAACCAGGCTACGTTCACTCAAACAGTGTAAGAATATTACTTTTCCCCTACATCCTCACCAGTACTTGTTGTTTCTGTTCTTTTTGATATGGACCATTCTCACAGGTATGAGATGGTATCTCATTGTGATTTTAATTTGCATTTCACTGACCATAAGTGATGATGAATATATTTTCATCATCTGTATTTCTTTGGAAAAATGCCTATTTAACTCTACTACCTTTTTTTTGGGGGGGGGGTGTTTTCTTTTTGTAAAGTTATAAGAGTTCTTTGTAGATCTTGGATATTATCCCATTGTTGGATACATGGTATACAAATAATTTTCTTCTAATCAGTGGGATGTCTTTTGGTTTTAGTTGATGGTTTCTTAAACTGTACAGAAGCTTTTTAGTTGGCTATAGTGCCACTTGTGTATATTTTCTTTTATTTTCCTGCCATTGGAAAAAAATCCACAGACATCTCTGAGGCCTATGTTGTGAGTGTTTTGCCTGTGTTTTCTTCCATGTATCGTTTCAGGTCTTACACATATAAGTTTTTTATTCATTTTGAGTTGATTTTTGTGTATGGTGTGAGGTGATGGTCTCATTTCACTTTTTCACGTATGACTGGTTGTCCCAACTTCATTTATTGAAGGGGCTTTTCTTGCTTCAGTGTATATCCTTGACACCGTTGCTGTAGATAAGCTGTCCATATAGTTGTGGGTTTATTTCTGGGCTTTTAAATCTGTTTCATTGATCTGTGTGTATTTGCTCTGGTACCATACTGTTGATCATTGTAGCTTTATAGTATAGTTTGAGGCCTCAACATATGATACCACCGTTCCTGTTTTTTTATCAGAATTGCTTTGGCTATTTTATGTCTTTTGAAGTTCCATATAAATTTCAGTAATATTTGTTGTTTCTTTGAAGAATGCCATTGAAACTTTGATGGGGGTTCTATTTTCTTGCTGAGTTCTTTGTGGGTAATCTTCACTTGGATTTAAATAAAAGAGCTCCTTTCACCATTATTGGAGGGAGGAGGTCTAGTGTTTGCAAACTCCGTCATTTCTGTTTGCCTGAGAACGCCTTTATTTTTTCCTCCTTTTTTATTTTTTAAGATTTATTTATGCATACAAGAACAGGGGTACAAGCCAGAGGTGTGGGGGGTGAGAGGATTCACCACAGACAGAGTGGGGAACAGATCAGGCAGATTGACTGAAATACACTGCTGAGGAGAGCAGCAGGCAAGACAGAAGAGGTCTGCTGCACCATGTGGGTTGCTCCCTGGCCGTGGGAGCTTGAACTTGTGCTGCAGTGGCTGCAGTTAGCTTCATAGGTTGCATCTTAACCCCTTGCACCACCAGGGAGGCCCCTATTTCTCCCTTCTCTTAAGGAGATCCTCACAGGATAGAATAATCATGACTGGCAGTTTTTGTCTTTAAGTGGTTTGATCGCATCATTTTATTTTGTCTTTAAGTGGTTTTATCGCATCATTGTCCATAGAGTTTTTCCATTAGAAAAGGTAAATGTAAGCCTGATCAAGATTATCTACTTATCACTAACCAGCTTCAATATTCTTTCTTTGTCTTGAATTCTTAGAAGTTTAATTACTATGTGTTTTGGTATAGGTTTCTTTCTGTTTCTATAACATAGTGTTCTTTTAGCTTCATGGATGAGTGTATTTAGTTCCTTCTCCAGGTTTGAGAAGTTTTCCTCTACTACTTCTTTAAGAAATTTTCAGTTATCTTCTCTCTCTCTTGCTTTCCTGGAATACCCATTATACTTATATTGTTGGTCCTCATGGAGGCAGATAATTCTTGAAGTATTTCCTCATTTTTTAAACGTCCCTTTCTTCTTCCACCTGAATTCAAGGTCAATGATTTGATCTTCCATGTGCTCTATTCTACTTTCATACCTTTCTGCAGAATTTTATATTTCTTACTGATATTTTTACATCCTAGATCTCCATTATTTTGTTATTTAAAACTTTAGTTTCATTTTGCAGGACATTTATTTTTCTGAATTTTCTTGCATATCTTTGATCAGCTTTTCTTTGTTTTCTATTTCATTGAATTTCTTTATCGTGACAATTTTGAATTCTGTATCTGATTGGAAGAAAAGGTATTCCATGACTCTGCAGTTGGGTTCTAGAGATTTGTTCTGTGTAGTATTTGTTCTGTATAGTAAATGTGCAGAGTTTCTACTTTTTCAGTAGATAGTGCTATATGCCAGGGAGAACTAATCTGTAGATGGGTCTTCAGTGAATGGGCCAGGGTCCTGGAGGGCTCAGTTCCTGGTGACTGCTGTGTGTGAACTTAATTCAAGCCTGTGTCACACCTGCTAGCCTGCTTCTCTGGGCCACAGACCTGCCTCTCTGTAGTTTGTGGTCTGGGCCTTCAGTGTAGCCCCAGGATGTTCCAACATGGCTTGACTGTATCCTCTCTGTCCCCATATCATTCACCCCCTGAAGTAGATGGTGGGGGTCATGCCTTTGTGAGCTTTGTCTTCACTGGGGGTCCTGGCTGGCTGGCTCACCATAGCACTCTTGCCTATGTCTCCCACAACTAGATCCACAGCAATCAGCTTTGCCCTCTGCAGGTGTGGGGATGAAACACCGTTTCCACCCTGGGCACCTCTTCCCACACTCACCCTTTTGTTGAATTTCCTAAGTTGAATTTCTTCTGTGTCTCTTCTGTCATATTAGGTCAGCATGGGTCCCTGGTGATCATGAGGTAATCTGATTTCACCCCACTTCACAGGATCCTCTTGAGGTCAGTGCCTACCTGGATCTCTCAGTTTAGTTTCCCCAGAGCAAAGCAGGGAACTTCTCTGATCCCATCTTCCCCTCCTGCACAGCCGCAGTTGAAAGATTTAATATAAAGGTCCATATTTCTACCTGTCCTTGAAAAAATTAAAAGGTGTAGCAGTGCTGGTGCCCCATTCTTCCTAGTAAGGGTATCCTGAGCTATATGGGAGCTGCCTTCTTCAGACAGGCCTGTCCTGCCCAATGGGCCACAGTTCCCTACTACTCAGCTGCTTTCTTCACACTACAGCAGCATATGCATTGCCATCAGTCTTTATGCCTGGTCCCTTTGGACAGTTGAGTTTGTGACCGCCACTGAATGATTTTTAAACTGCTAAAGAAATGCAGGGAGCTAGCATGTGGAAAGTTGAATCAATTGAGTGTGAGCATAGACTGTCAAAGCATATTGTCTGTCAAAGAATATGCTTGAAGAAGAAGCAGAGATTGGTTGAATTAGTAGAGTTCTTTAATGTCTCTGATTTGTGCCAACTACTCTTTGTAGAGTGACTATATCATTTGTCATCCAAGCTGGGACTTTAGAGAATGGGAGGAAATGTCACATTATTATGTGGAGAAACAGGCATCAAGCAGGGCCGTCCTAGCTATGCTTGGAACAGGACACATGGCCATCCTCAGACTACAATACATGAAAACAGGAAACTTAACATTCATACCATTAGCCGTGGTGAGTGAAGGAAAGATTTGTAAGGGGAACTCACACAGAGACTACAGTGGTATAAAGGTGGTCCTGGAAAAAATGGACAAGGTTTTGCAGAGAAAGGAGGCTCTTACGTGGGTTCTTGTGCATGAGAAGGGCTTTGAGAGGTAGAGAAGGGTCTAGGAAAGTGATTGCACCAAAAGAAATACCCTAAACAAGAAGTTGTTAATGTATCTTAAATTTTTTCAGAAATTGGGTGACTGTGTGGTTGGAGCATTGGTACTTGGAGGCAGATAGTTCAAGAAGTAGGCCAGATAGACTTAGTCCAAAGTATTATGAGTCTAGAACATTAGGAGTTGGAATTTGAATCTCAAAACCATGAGAAGAAAACTCTGGCCATCATGTATGTAAACTAATTTTCCTGGAGACAGGAAAGCTCTTGGTTTCCCTGTAGCAGAATGCAAGAGAAAGCCTACTTGAATGATCTATTATAGAAGTAAAATTAAGGGCCTCCCTGGTGGCGCAGGTAGTTGAGCACAGCTCTGTGAAGCCGTCCGCAGCCTCTACAGTGCTGGTTCGATCCCCACTGGCCACGGAGCAACCCACATGGCATGGCAGTCCTCTCCTGTCTCACCTGCTGCTCCCCTCAGCAATGTATTTCAGTCAGTCTGCCTGTTCTGTTCCCCACTCTGTCTCTGATGAATCCTCTCACCCTCCCGTACATCTGGCCTGTACCCCGGTTCTTGTATAAATAAATAAATCTTTAAAAAAAAAAAAAGTAGAGTTAAACAAACTAAATGTGGAGAGGGAGGGGAACGACTAGGGTTTCTAGATTTACACAATTACGCGTGCTTTAATCGGAGATAGGCACTATAGATATGAGAGAAACTTGGTGACTTTGAGCTTGGTCATGTTGAATTGGAGCCCTGGAATGGAAGTAAAGGGTCTGGACTGGTAATAAAAGTTGGAAATCATTAGGAGGGAGTTTGTGAGTGGGACCATGTAAGAGTTAGCAAAAGGAACCTGAAGGTAACAAGAAAGAAGAAGCAGTCTCAGGAACACAAGGCAATGTAAATAGGGTTGTAGAAGAGTGTGGAGGACACCCAGGTGAATTAGCATGACTTGATTGTGCATTCAGCTAGCACAGGAGTATTAGTTAGCTTTTGCTACAGATAACAAACTATTCTGAACTTAGTGCCTTCAAAGCAGCAATTATTTTCATTTGTTCTCTGGTCTGCTGAGGGTTTTTGGGGACCTTACCTGGACCAGCTATGTCTTATCAACATGAAGTCTTTAATCATCCAGGAAGCTCGTCCAGTCTTATTCATAGGATGGTCTGAGTTCCCAGCAGCAAAAGAGGGCAAACCCAATGCACAGGCACTTTTTAAGATTCTGCATGCATCACATTTGTTAACATACCATTGGCCAAAGCAAGTCACATGACCACGCCTAGCTTCAAAGGGTGGAGAAATAAATTCCACTTCTTGATAGAAAACCACTACAAAGCATTAATGGCCT